GGCCCCACTTCTTTGATTCCACTTAATTCCATCTGATGCATCTGAGCTACAAATACTACCCTAAAACTGGTTTGGGACTATAATGCTTGAGACAACTCCAGACTAGCTAGCTGAAATTGTGCACCTTCTTATTATACCTTGGCCAGTGCCTCAGATAAGAATTTCAGTCAAGCATTACCTGCCACACAGAGACTAGCTATAAATGTTATAGCTAGTCCCCTCAAGAAATCTTGTTGCCTTAATTTTTTTTTCCTACAGGATCCCATGGAGTCATCATAGTCCCATTTCAGCAGGAAGTAATCCTAAGAAAACAACACTCCCTTTCCCTACTGTTGGCATTGGGGATAATTACACCTGTATAGGGTTGGTTTTCAGTTGCTTAGGGTTGGGTATGGAAGGTGATATTCAGACTAGGGTATCTCTTTAAGATAAGTATATGTTATGGTCAGGAAGGGTATGGTTAGGATGGGATATAGGTAGGTTAACATATCTTATTTTGAATTATCTTAGTAATTATTAATTGTATATAACTTATATTGTTATAGATTCTTATATGTTTTAACTTATGTAAAATTAAGTTTGTATTCCTTTCTCAGATAATTTGCATATTATATTTTTCCATATTCTGTAAGATCTTCTTTCTGTTTACAATGTTTTGTGTATGGATATCTTTATCATATTCTATATATGTATACTTTTACATATGTTTAAGATATTTTGTATATTGATACAATTTAGGATATCTTTTATCATGTTGCACTATACAGCTCTACCTCCTGTCAAGACGTTTCAATTCTAAATTATTTTGGGAAGTTTCAGCCATTTATACAGCTATGCTCCTAAGTATTACAGATTATAATCATCCATGTTTCTCATACCTATGAGATTAGTCAGACATAGATGTTTGATCTTCAAACACTTTATAGACCTGCAGAATATGGCATTTAAATATTTTAATATTAGTACTCCTTTGACATGAGACATAATTGCTCCTGACAGCACCAAGATATTCCCAAGAAAATGTTGGGCACTGATGTCACTCCTTCTGGAGTCCATTCTCTCCTCAGCTAATGGCCTCTTGGGCAAAGAACCACCCCTACCTCAACCACTGACTTTGGACATGCTGTCCTACTGTGCTTGCAGGAGACAAACATAGAAGACTGCTGATCCTTGCCAAATCAGGGTAAGACAGCCTTTCTACCTCCCTGCTTCTTGTTGTTCAGTCAGATACTCTTGGCCTCAGCCAAAGCTGGTTGCCCCGACGTTGCTGTGAGACTTTAGGTGACTGTCCAGGTAGCCTGCTGTTTCTGTCTTCGCTGCATCTTGTGGAAGCTGCTTGCCTGCACTTCCTACCTACCCTATTATTTTTATTCTCCTTCTCAGGTCTTTGATGAGGTTGAAGATTAGACTGTCACGATTATTGTTCTCTCTCTTCCTAAATAGAAATATTAGGTACAAACTTAACCTTCCAGCTTAGGACAACTCCATAGTAATCTCTGTTATGCCTTCACCCTAGGACTGGATACGTAGTTCTTGCCATTTGCTCTTGTTACCTCACTGGCAATAGGCCTAAGTGTGTATGTTCTTTTTTTCCTTCTCCTAGAGCATAGTTGATATTTACTGTCCTTGTATATAGCTACATATCAAGCCTAAATCTTTTCTTTAGACTAAAAGGGGAATTGGAGTGAGATATCCACCCTGCCCACACCTGTTATATTGACTACGCCCATTGGGGCATGGGGACAGGGGAGGGCTTGACTGGTGGAGTCTAGGTCTGGGTCCTGACCCGGATGCTCTCTCTTACTCCCAGGTCGGAGACAGAGAAGATCTGAGGATGTCCTTGGAGCAGGGAACCCTCAGTGGTGGTCTGTGTCTTGTGTAAGTGAATTCTCCCTGAATAAACCTCAATCAGCCTGTATTGTGTCCCAGAATCTTATTACCAGCTTTAGAACCCTATGAAGGAATTAAAGATGGCCCACCCCAAGATATAGCAACACATTTGATAATCTCAGGTTGAAATCATCTAAGGCAACATAAACACAGGAAGGGCCACTTGGTCTGTCTTTCCATGAATGACTAGAAAATGGCCTTGACCACTGGATGCTATAACCATGTCTGCAATGAACCTAAACTAGCAAACTCAGTGGGGGTGGGGTAGAGGGTCAGCAGAGTCCAGCTCTACTGACTCCCTGACAAGGGTTAGGTCAATTGCTTCAGCAGAGCCAAAGGGCTTAGAAATTTTCCTATCTTAAGAGGTAACAGAGTGAGCTAACACATGTGCTGTTCTAATCATGTTCTTTATTCTTCTTTCCTTGTGCTGTAGTTTCTGAGTTATACACAGGTAGTACTTTCCCACATCCGCTTTGGGTGAATTTGGGACACCCAGTCTCCTTACCTTACCGGGAAGGACTATGAATCAAACAAGCTGGGATGTGACATACCCCTGTCTTTAAAGGTCCCAAATGTGACCTATTTGAAAGACTCCTCTCCTGACTAAATGTCCTGACAAATAAAAGGTAATTGCAGGGAGCTGGCTTCTAAGTTGTATCTCAGGGAATGGAGCAGAGATTTGACTGTGGGAACCAAGGTTTTTGACTGTGTGACTAAATTTTCTCCTAGGGGTCCCACAGAGTCACCCAATCAGCAAAAGAACAAGGCAGGCTTTGAAGAGTCCACAGTCCTTGTAGGACAAATAGATTCAGTTTGCAACATGTCCCAGTATATATTCTATGTATCAAAACTATATTGCTAAATGAAAAAAATATCTTCCTGACCATCACAGATAAGATTGAGATGCAACCATGAGATTATGTATATACATCACATGAGAATACGCAATACAATGTAGGTATTGGGGAGACACCAAGATGCTTTATCCAAAGTGAGCAACAGTTTCCAGAGCTGATGGTCCTGTGGGCCTTGTCTGGACAGGATTAACCTCCATCAGAGAGTCACTCCTCTGGTGGGCTGCCATGTGAACACTAGTTGTCACCTGCCGTAACTCTCACGACCCCTGACAAAAACTCTATGAAGTATCATCCCTTATTCCACTGGCTTCTATATCTCCATACCATCCTACATATATCTCAGTAAATCTCTAGAAATGACAACTCTAGTCCATGTATCCCCATGCCCTTCCATTCCTCACAAATACAATGTTCTTTAGACTTCGGGCTAATGAAGGTTTCATGAGCATCTAAAATTCATTTAAAAATCATTTTTCAAAATGCATGGCAGGGAAAGTATGGCAGCAGGAACCAGAGACAGCTAGTCACATTATGTCTGCAGTCAGGAAGCAAAGAGAGGCTGGGAAGAGAAGGTGGGCTATAAAACCCACAACCTGCCTGTGTCCGGTGACCCACTTCCTCCAACAAGCTTCTCCCTCTCATGGGGTCCAGCTACCTACTGGAGACCAAGTATCCAAATACATGAGCCTATGGGAACATTGGGCATTCAAATCACAACAAAGGAGGCCTCTCTCCCCTCTTACTCTCATCAGAGGAAAGGCATGAGGATTTCCTACACAAAGTAGAGCAGTGACTGAGAAGGAAACAAACAGATTGCATTTGGTTAGACTGCAGATGGGCAGCCTCCATGTCTGAGATGCCCTGGGTGAACCCAGGCTCATGAGTCAGGCTATTCCAATTTTCAAGAAGCATTGCTCTGAAATTCAGCTACCATTTGCAGAAAAACAAGGCTAGTGTGTAGTAGGGAAGATCGTGGCAGAAATCAATGGGCACATTAGCATGGCTATTTATGTCATACAGGTAATGCTTAGGCAGCCATGTTGATGAGACTGCATGGGTGTAGCGTTTAACATTTCTAGAATGTATGGAAGGTCAAAATCTCATGGAGCTGAAGCCTGAACCCTAGACAAAAGTCTATGGGCAACTAAGAAATGCTTAGAGTGAGAAATAGTCTTCACCAGGGTAGAACACATAAACTGCTTACCTATTTATCAAATGGTCAGCCCTAAAAATATGTAACATTCAGACTGAGCAGATTGTATTTGCGTATTTAGGAACACACACACATGCATGCAGACACACACACACACACCACCACCACCACCAACAACAACAACAACAACAACAACAATTTAAAAAAAAAAAAAAGAGGTCATAAATTTAAAAGAGAACAGGGGTTAGTATTATATATGAGGATCTGTAGGAAAGAGGGAAATGTAATTATAATCTCCAAGAAACATTTTAAAAATTCATGTGCAAGAAGTCATTAGTGCCACAACTAAGGAATTAAGTAGGGATAAACTCCTTAACATTCCAGCTGTGTTTTCTCATTTGATTATAATGGTAATCCATGACTAGCTAGATTAAATCAGCTCTGTCCAAATAAATGCATATCAAATGTAACTAATATTCTATCCCTTTCCTTTTCTACGGCTAACTCCACACTTCCCAGAGGGAATTTTCCAGTTCATTATCAAAAACTGATTAAATAATTAGGGAAAGAACTTTAAAAATGATTGCATAAATTTATATGTACATGCTAAACAAATAATGGTTCCTCTGGATGTTTAACAAAAAAAAAAAAAAAAAACAAACAAACAAACAAAAAAAAAACCCAAGGACCAGAGTAAAATAATTAATCATTTCAGGGTTCATCAACAAATTAAAGTATCCTAGAGAAAATCATACTTAAAACATGAATTTAGAGAAAATATAGGAAATTTCAAGGTATTTTATAAGGCACCTGACCCACGTAAGCTACTGTGTGTTTGTTTTATTTTTAATTGTGTAGCTTATGATGGAGAGTAAGCATGCAGCAGGTGGATCGGGAGTAGGACTGACTAGTTGCAGTTGGACGGATCAGTCAGTACATTGTCTACCACAGTGAAACAAACCTCTCTATAGCAGCATCTGTGGTCAGAGCTAACCTAGGAGTAATTTGGCTTCCTCAGCCTTAGCACAGAGACCCACAGCAAAGAAAGGCTCTGCCTTATGTAAGTATGCACCCTGATGACAGGTAACACAAACACATACCATAGTGTCCAAGGCCAACTATGGTGTCCTCTAAACTTGGCTCAGCTTCATGGCGGTTCAGGGAAGGAAGAGGCTGAGGCTCAGGCGGGTTCTCGGAAGTCCGTTCATCCAATTCCTTATGGAAGGGAATCAACAAACCATGAGAAGTGGACAGAAGGAAACGGCCCTGCCACACATGAAGCACATTCTTCTTCCCTAACCCTAACAGCATCTTCAAACTTTGGGAAAAGAGAAATGGTCCTGAACCTGACAGCCACCTTGGGCAAAGCATTCAACCTCTGTAGGAACCAGTATCTAGGCCAGAGCTAGGTGAGCCAAGCAAGATGCCCAGGGAGCTAAGTCAAACGTTCAGGCAAATATAGGCCTGAACTGTCAGTAGCTAGGAGCAAGTATTTATTGCCAATGTGCAACCATAGTTTCTCACCTAACTTATCCCTTCTCAGTTTCATCTCAAAACTAAAAGTGTTGACTTGAATGACTTCCACATCTTAGCTGGACTAACAAGTCCTGAGAGTCTAATTTCAATTTCCTAAAAGACAAGTACCTAAGAAATGATGAAGGAATTCATGCTTCAAAAACATAAAAGGTGAGGTTGGGAGTATGTATTAGCTGGTAGAATGCTTCCCTGGTATAAAAGAAGTCCTTCATTCTATCTCCAGCACTGTGTTAACACATGCCTATAATTCCAGCTGGAGAAGCTGCCTTTGCTACTGCCCTATTGCCTTGAAAAGACACCATAACCAAGGCAACAACACTTTAAAAATCATTTCATTAGAGCTTGCTTACAGTTTTAGAGGGTTTGTCCATGACCATCATGGCAGGAAGCAGACAGGCATGTCAATGGGGCAGTAGCTGAGAACTTTAAGTCTTGATCTGCAGGCAGCAAGGTGGGGGTGGGGATGGGGGGGCAGTGGAGAGACTGGGCCAGGCACTGGCTTTTGAAACCTCAAAGTTCACTCCCGGGGACACGGTTCCAATAAGATCACTCCTACTCCAACAAGGCCACGCCTCCTAATCCCAATCCCTACTCCCAAACTGTGTTGCTTTCTGGAGACTAAAGTATTCAAATATGTGAGCCTGTGGTGGGCGGGGCATTTTCATTTAAACCACCACAGACATGGAGCATTAAGCAATCCTGGACTAAAGGGCAGGTTTGAAGTGAGCCTGTGCAACATGAGAAACTGTCTCAACAAAGCAAAACTAAAGCTAACTAAATAAATAAAAATAAAAGATAAAGTGTCCAAATATGTTAATAGGAATTTCAACGGGCCATTTGTATTTTATTACTTTTTTAACGTGTGTGTGTTTGCAAACTAAATGCAATACTGAATTGCCCTATTTTCTCTGATAAACAACTTTCAAGGTGGTGGTGAGGACTATTTCAAGAATGCCTTTTGTTAAGAAAAAAAATTAAAGGGCAAGTCCAAAGTAGTAAGTAAGTCAGATGCGTAAGTCAGATGAAATCAGCAAGGCACTTGTGAGAATGGGCGCAGGAAGCAGAGCTGCCCCCTGTACTGATGATTGTTTAAGGAGGTACAGCTGGGTCCAGATCGCAAAGGTTCACTGCTGGGACTCTGAGTACCCAAAGAACACGGAGGCTGCAGGGTACCATCACTGCATGCACTTCAGAAGGTATCTGCAAAGAAGCACTGGGGGGCTCAACTGACTGTGACTCACTGAAGTTCTCTTTGAGGAAGACAGCTTGGGCTTGCCTGCCTTGTGTATTAACAGTGTGGTTTCTCTTTATTTGTCTCTTTCGCTTTTTAAGCTACCATCCTCTTAAGAAGTAGAGTCAAACATGATTTCACACTCAATTGTGCAAGATTTCAAAACCTAAATTCAGCCATGACATTGTCAATTAAAGTCTGAAAACAAATCAAGTCACTCTCCTAAATGTATGAAGGGCTTCTGGAGACATGGCTCAGTTGGTAAAGTGCTTGCTAGGCAGGTGTTAATCCCAAAGCTCGAGAGGTAGAGACAGTAGGGCTTGCTGGCCAGCCAACATAGCATGATCAATGGACTCTGGGTTGAGTGAGAGACATTATCTCACAGAATAAGGTAGAAAGGAATCTAGAGGGAGCCCAATATTCACCTCTGGTCGTCACATGCATGCACACTCATGAACATGCACATACATCCAATGAACACACGCTCCACAACGAATCACAGAAGAGTTTGCTCCAGCCTGGCAAGAGAGAAAGAAGGAATTGAGAGCAGAGTCTCAATGAGGTTAGGGGAAAATGAAGGCATCAAAATGCTGAGAAGGGGCAAGGAAATGCATTCAAAGCCAGGTGCATTTTTCCTTTATCGAATTTTCCTCCAGCCTCTTGCATCTGATTAATACAGTTTCTGTCATATTGTATTTCATCGTTTTTAGCTCAACAATGCCTTTCCCTGAGATGATGAAAGCCCTTCAGGCCTCTGCAAAGTGTTTAGCTTCTTCCTTTGTTCTATCATTAAGCCCATCTCTCTCGCTCTTGTGTCTGTGAGTGTGATTAAACCTGCCTCTGTCCTGCCTGGCTGCTTCCTCTTTCCTCCTGGGGTCAACAGGAGAGTCTTCCCCTCAGGCCGAGCCTCCTTTTCTCCCATTCCCATGAAATGATCTGCTCATGGGTGTCATTTTCAGCTCTCCCTTCATCTAGAGGGGGTTGGTCATGGTCAGGGGCCCCACTTGCTATCCTGGTCAGCAACATCAGAAGCAAAGCTGAGCGTATTAGAAATCTGACAGCCCAGGCCCTACCCCAGGCCAACAGAATCGGAATCAAGATAACACAGGATACTCTGGCATGTCCTGAAGTTTGAGAAGGGTTTTGTAAGTCACAGAATTTAGAAGAGAGCCAGCTGGCTGCGGACCTGAGAGGTCAGAAGGTTTTCCAGAAGACAAAGGGACCTCTGAAAGAGAGAAGGGCCCTAACCACGAATCACCATTGTTCCTGTGCTGTCATGCTAAAAAATGCTCATATCCATATGCAAACTTGGGAAACAATGGCTCACCTATTGTTCCCATGCTGCTATGTTAACAATGTTCCTATCCACACACAAGCTTGGGAAACCCTTCTGAGAAGTTCAGGACCAGAGATAGTACTCAACCTCAGAAAACTCAAAAGAACGAACCAACATCTTTAGCTAGGACAGGACTGTGAGTGTGTGCGCATACACGCACTTGAGTGCACATACATATGCACTCACACTGGTGTACACACACACACACACACACACACACACTACTTGCTGGGAGAAAGGAAAGCATGATGGTCAATCTTGTCTGTCAGACAAGATCTAGAATCACTATGGAAACACATTTCTGGGTGTGTTTATGCAAGTGTTTGCAGAAAGGCTGAGCCAAAGAAGGAAGACCTCCTCTTAATGTAGGCAGCATCATCAGCCCACAGACTGAGGTCCTAGGCTGAAAGAAAGGAAAATGACAGCTGGGCAATGAAAGTCATCATTCACTACTTCCTGAGTGCAGATGCAATGTCCTTGTCATCATAACTTCTCAGTCATTATGGACTATACTTTCAAATTATGAGTTCCCTCAAAACTTTCCTCCAAAACAAAACACTTCCTTCAGTTGCTTTTGTTGAGTATTTTGTCACAGCATCAAGAAAAGTAACTAGTACAGGAAGTCACTGGGGATGAATGCTGGGAACAACAGAATCTAGCAGAATCTTTGCGCAACCTCTTTCTTTTTTTAAGATTTTACTTATTTAATATGTATACAGTGTTCTGCATGTATGCTTGCACACCAGAAAAGGGCACCATATCTTATTATAGATGATGTAGCTGCTGCAAATTGAACTCAGAACCTCTGGAAGAGCAGTCAATGCTCTTAACCACTGAGCCATCTCTCCAGCCCCAGAAACCTCTTTCTTAATCTGGGCTGGCTCCGTGTTCTGTGTGATAACATGGATAACAAAATCTATTCAGCTTGGTGTGACTTTGCATGCCTGTAATCTCAGCACTTGAGAAGCTGAGGCAGGAGGCTCATGAGTTTAGGCCAGTCTGTGTCACATAGTAAGACCCTTTCTGAAAGGAACAAAAGAAGGGAGGAGGGAGAGGGGAGCGAGGGAGGTCACTGAAGCTTCATAATACAAAAAGAAAACAAACGCCATATCTGGCGTTCAAGCCATAGCCGTAACAAAGAAATGCCTCTGATCTCAGGTTTCCTGGCATTCTGGTTTATTTTGGTGATTGAGCAGGGAGTTTGCACACATTAATCCTCACAATCCTGTCAACTTCCTTGTCTAGATCTTTGGGAATGCCTGGTTTTTGGTCTTATATAGCCAAAGCAGAGCCAGGGCAAAGACCGACTACAATAGGATGTCTTCACAGTGCCTGCCTAGGCATGTCTGAGTGCTGAAGCAAGGCATTCTGTTTTCCTGAGGGCATGCATTCTTCCATACTTGTAGTATGAAGACTTTCCTCTTGGTTGAGACCTGATCCTATTGCTAATCCCATGTCCTTTCAGCCAATAATTCTCTACTTGCCAGTATCCATGAGCAGGAAGAAACTCTCACAGTTTTCCAAGTCTCTGAGACCAGTGACAGATGCCACAAACAGCTTCACTATAAATGGCGATAGCAGGGAGTAGAATACTTAGAATACTATGTAGAATTGAGGACTTTTTACCAGCACTCTTCTAGTGTCTGTTGACCACCTCTGTAAGCAGAAGGAGACCCGTGAAGTCACAGAGGAGACGAGATCTACTGTGGGATCCCACGTTGGACTATCTGATCGTCTAAATACTTTAGGAAGATAGATGTGCATTGTCTTGCTCAGAGAGGGACAGAAAACAGGTGTTCCTAGGCCTTGATCTTCTAAGAGAAATATCTGCTCAGGTTTCTGCATGTTCCAGGGTTTGGAAGCCTGTAGTGACTCATCTAAATTACAGAATTTACAACACTGAGGTTCAGGGCATTGTTCTACAATCAAGGCTTGGTTCTCTCTGTTCAAGGACAGCATCTCAAATATAGAGATCTCCTCTGGGTGAACATCTAGAAAGCTTTTCTACCCTAATGTGCTTTTATCAGAAGAGCTATGAGGTTGGTGTTGGTGTCATTTGCTCCAAATGAACCCTCACTTAGATGACCTTAATATTAGATCCTATCACCAAGGCACAGAGGGATAATCTCAAACATGAATGAAAATAGCATTTGCCATTCAAAGATTTCAGATCCAGAAGAACAGGAGGAAGGGTCCTACAACTCCATTCATTCATTATCCATAGTAGTTCTTTAGTTTGAGTGAAGTTATTATCAAAGTGTGTGAATGATATGGATAGGAGACAGAACATAAAAGGTTAAAAGGAAAAATAAGACAAAAAGGGATTGACAGACTAGATAGGCAAAACACAAAAAATAGATGTGAAGGTCAGATATGTGCATGTTTGATCTATTAAATCTTAACCATAATCTCTGCATTTGGTGACAATTCAATTATCTTGTAAATAGTAGCAACTTGCTCTGTGATGGCTGAATCAACTGGTCCACTTGCAGATGTAAGCTGCTTTGATTATGGGTTATCATCAGCTGTTGGCTTACTTGTAGAACCCTCCCTGGAGGTGGGCCAAGTTGGTCTGGGTGTTTTCTTTTCTATCTTTTTCCTACACATTTAGCCTGATGAATCCGAGGGACCCAAAGCAAGGAAACATCCCATGAAAACATGAAATAGGGGTGCTTACATGAAGCATATCGACACTCAGGGGATCAAAGTTCTGGAATTGGGATTCTTGCACTCGTTTGTTATTTTCTTTATATTTTTCTTCCACAATCTTTCTGTAAATTCAACAAGAATGTAAAAAATCAGTGCAAATTGTTTAGGTTATATCTATAGTATACAAACAAGCATGACTGCTGTTTTAACATGTAGACCTGGTTATCAGGAAGCCAGACTATCAGGTCTGCCCCTCAGGGTAGCATCTCAAATGATTTTTTTTCAAAATTTCAAGTGATGCTCTTCCAAAGCACACACACTACAGAAGCTGTGGCTCCTTAGTCAACTCTGAAGCCCCTCGAATATCAGGAGAAGATAACACTCACCCCTGAACATCATGACTGTGAAGAGGCTGCTACCCCAATGGCTGAGATTCATTGTACTTCATAATGAGCAAGCCCATACACAAGGACAATGGAATTACATATCAAGGAATTGTGAGCACTGTGGTGGAGGGAAAGTGGCAAAAGAGCTACATCTAAGAAGCTTTCAACTATCCAATTCCATAATAGTCACCAAGAAGCATGACAGACTTCCAGGACATAGGATTCCTTTTGTCTAACATGCCTCAGTCTAGAAGCCACCATGCTATTTCTTAGTTTCCCAAGCTTCATTTTTATACTACATATTAATGAGATTATGCACAGTTGGCATTTCTCAGTTACATTAACTAAAATGCACAGCCCCTCTTGAATCCTAGAAACAATGACCAAAATTCTAATTCAATTAATTTGTGAAATGAAGACCAAGTAGGAACAGTATTAGTATATAACATGGAATATTTATGCAATTCTTTTGTCTACAAATAGTTTTAATCTGAATAATAATGATAATATACATGCAAAGTATTACATTTGATTTTTATGTCTTCCTTTAAGATGGAACCCCCCATTTTTATTCAACCAATGACAGGATGTATGCTACATTGGAGACATTACCATCACTGGCATTTAGATGGGCTAGAAGCTGTGAGTTGATGTAATGGCTCCAGTAATTTAAGGGCATGTATTTCCCCAGGTAAACCCACAATCAGTGGTTTATAGGAACCAGCATGAACAGACTGCACTATATTTCCACAACTGAACAATCCATACTATCATCTGATAGCCCGAACCTGGCCATGACTAGAGCATTTACAACAGAGACCAGCAAACAAACAGGCCGCCTCCCCACCCAAAGATGTTCATTACCCATTCTTCAGCATCCCTCTGCCTGTGACTTCACTGTGATGGTCTGTACCCTCAAACGGTGAGCCAAAACAGGCCCTTTATACAGTAAGTTGATTTTGTCAGGGAACTTTATCACAGCAATGGGAAAAGTAACTAACACAGAGAAAATACCACAACTGTCTATTCAGCTAGGTCCAAGTGTCAGCAGCAATGAGGTTTCCCTTAGAGCCTAACAATATTTTCATCACTAGTAACCTCCCTACCTTTCGATCTTCGTCTTCACACAGTACTGAAAACCTGATGTAAATAGCGTCTGGCATCCAATCTATGGCCCAGTAATCTTGTTTGGGGGAACAGGTGAATGAACACATAGTGATCCTATGTGCTTTGGTTTTGGCTTTTGCTTTCCTTGCATGAGTTCTTTGACAGCACCATTAGGCAGTGCAGGGCATGGGGCACCCAAAGGGGAGGCAGCTTACTTCAGTTTCCTGGCTTTCTCGTCAGCTGCCTGCAGCTTCCTCAGCCGCATCCTTTCTCTCGGAGTCATTTTCTGCACTTCAGACAGGGCTTGGAGAGTCTGCAGGTGAATCTTTTTCTGCCTGTAAGTAATACACATTCTTCTACATGCAACTCATACCAAACATGCTCAGAAAAAAAAATTAAACAAATATTTTACAGAAGTATCTCTATGGAGAGAGCAGCAGCGTACCGAGGCAGGCCAGGAAAATCTAATAAACTCTGAGTGGGTAATGAGCCAACCAGGACGAGAGTTAATCAGCATTATTTTCAAATTAGATTTCTGCTTAAAAGCAAATTGTGTACTTTCTAAATTCCTGCTCATTTCGTTGCCAGTGGCTGGTTTTTATAATGTAAGACAAATTGGGATCTTGGCCGTTAGAGAGTAAATAGGCCACCAGAGGAACTCATCTATGTGTACTGTTGGGCCATGGTCTTTGGAAAATCAGCGAATTCTTCCTCCACCACCCATGCTCTCTGTAGTCAGGGGCCCGAATGTGAATCCAGGTTTCCTCCTCTGTAAAGAATGGGCTACAGTGAATATCACCTGAAATAATGTATGCACAGTCCAATGGTGGCACTGTAA